TTTTCTCAGAAGCACTGCATTTCCATTCCTGATTGTGTATCATTTACGCCAGCCATTCCCTGCCCCACTGGGCTCAAAACCAGGCTCCCATGCCAGCCTCTCAGTTCTGTGGGCCCTGGAGCATGGCACCTGGACACATGGGAGCCTGGCAACACAGCAACGTGCACCTCCTTTGGAACACCAGCCTTCATTCCTCCTTCAATAGCTCTGGAGCAGCCGCCAGGACTCAGACCTAGGGAGGTTCATGGTCTTCTCTCTATGCCTTCCTCTGCTCCTCTGGTACCCAAATCCTCTAGGGCACTCTGCATCTTCCTGTGGTTGCTGGTGTGGGATTGTCCTGCTGCACCTTAACCCCCAGCCGTAACCCTCGGGAGAGGAGGAGAGAGCGAGCTGGAGGCAGCACCTTTTTAATTTCCTCCAGGGAGATTCAGCAAGGGGATCTGTCACTGCTCTTTTGTGTATCACCTCAACTTTCTGCATGTCACCTATAAAACCTCTCACTACTTTTATGTTCTCGTTTTAAGCCACAGCTTTGTCACTCTGTCACAAAAAGCCAATTTGCCTGTTAACAAATTGATTCTCTTCCTTGCGTGCATCATCTGATTTGTGCAGATCCCTGTTGGTTTTGCAGCATCCCCGCAGTGTCAGAGCTCCACGACAGGCTGCAGGTGAAAGGCTGGGTAAGCTCAGCGGTGCTCCGCCACTCGCAGGTTCATGGCTTGCAGGGGACTTCCCTCTGTCCCTAAAGCCTAATCCTTGACAATCAAAGTAGCTGATCAAAACTGCCACCTGATGGATGTCTCATCAGAACAAGGGTCCAGAAAAGGGAGCAGATGGTGGGCTGGGCAGGCGGGCTCGCTGCTCCGTCCCCCTTGGCACAGCAGCTAGCTGCATGAGGAGAGGCTGCACCCGAGAGCTAAGGAGGTATCGCAGGGCACAGCTGTGACACAGAGCCCTGGGAACAACTCACCAGCTAGAAAGGGTCAGGAAACAGATCTCCAGCCCTTGCACACGTCAGCTGGCAGGACCATTCCCAGCAGCATCTTTAAAACAACTAGTGCTGCCCTGGCACACCACAGCTCCTTGCTGGATGCAGCACACCTTCCTCCCAACGCCACATCTGCCCCTCTAGAAACTAACAGCGGGTTAAGCACAGTGGAGTGGAAGATCCCACTTTATTTTTTATTTATGGAAACCTCCCACATAAAGGCCATGTTTAAAGGTAAAGTGATATCCAGGGAAATATGAGCAGGTTTGGCTAGTCTGGGTTTTGCCATGTGGATTTTTTTTTTTTTCCTTTTCTTCCTAAAACATTATCATCTGTATCTTTGCCCCCAAACATAACACAGAGAATTAAAACCATTAAAATCCTGTGAAATAGACTTTACAATCTGGATTTTATTCAATGACATAAACACTTAATTACAAACATCTGTTTTAGCCTAAATTCTAATTACCTAATCTAGCCATCTGTAATTTGAATGATTTTCTCTGATTTCCTTTCTTTGCAATGTGATTAATGAGAATGGCATTAGAGCAAGCAGCTTCCCCCTCCCTCCTCAGACACTTTTTCAGCTCTAGCAAGAAAGCCCTGGGATTTTGCAGCTCACAGAAAACCTCCCTCCTGTCACTTGCAGCTGTTGAGCTTCCTTTTCTCTTTTTAGTATGAGCTATCCCACGAGATATCTGCTTCCCAGGACTGAAAGGGGAAGTTCTTACACAGAGAGATGCCCTCTGGGAGATGAGGGCTGCCAGATTTCCAATGGCAGAGACAATGCACAGCAAAATGGCACTGGATTTCCCCTGCAGCTCCATTCAGCTCTGAACTCCTCCACTCTTTCAAAAAAAAAAAAAAAAAAAAAAGGTGCTGCAATGGGGCATACCCTTGCATCCTTCCACCTACAGATTTTGCTGGTTGTTCAAGACAACACAGGGTAAGAAGGGCACAAGGAGGTCTGTTATTTCCCCGTCACACTTGCAACGCTCCTGTTCCTACTGTCTGCTGTTTGTACTATTAGAAGGAAATTTATTTTTAATGCCTCTGAACGGTCCCTGCAACTGTCATCCTAATAGGAAGCTCCCTGGTAGCAATCTACAGCGATTTAGCAGGGCAGACAACAAGCTCACTGCAGCCAGGAGGGCTGGGAGGAGGGAGAGCAGGATGGTCCCAAGCAGGCACGAACCTGAGCTCCATGTCAAGCCAACAGGACCTGGACACAAAGGGCAGAAAGCTCCTTATTTTGCCTGCTTAAGATCACTTTGTAGTGATAATAAGGAGGTTTTCAGCAGTACACAGCTGCCTCAGCTTGTCAAGAGGACTCTGAGTTCATTAAAAACGGTTCCACTGATGGCATTTTCTCCCTCTCCCCTCTGCCAGCTCCATACGCGGTCCCCTGCATCCCTGATTTGCCAAATCTGCTTTGCAGACCTTCCCAGTTATGAAGAGTCAGTCCCTAGGGAAGATTTTCGTGCTGATCTGCACGCTCATCAGGGAGATGGTAAAGCACACAACATAACAGCCCCCTGGCATCTGCGTAAGCCCAGCCCCTTCTATGCTGTCTGCATCCAGACTCTCTCTTCCACAAGCCATTTCCCTAGAGGTAAATACACTGGGACAAATTTCACAAGGGAGACACTGAATCAGGGCTGCATCATCCCCTGCGCTCACAAATAAATATAATTTAAATTAAGATGAGGCTCGAATTTCAAGCTGTACAGCCATTCAAGCACAGACATGTCCCCTAAAGCTCTACACCCATGTGGTTCCACAAGATCCCTTTGGGCAATCACAGGCTTTCAGGATTCCTTAGCATTCTCCAGATCAGTAAGTCACAGCTTGACACCCCAAGTCCTCTCCTACCTACTTCACAAAGATGCTCTGTCTGGTTCATTCTTCCCATTCTTGGACCGCTGTCTCCCAAAGACCGACAACCGTGAAAGCCAGTCCAAGGTCCAGCAGCACAGCAACAACAGCCTGGTGCTGTGCCCAAGCTCCTTAGCACAGGGGTTACCTGGATTAAATACTCAATACCATGCACCCATACATTTAAGACCAGAGTTTCTACCTCTGCATGGTCTTCACTCACACTGCATTGCCTGTGTCTGCTCAGAACCAGCCTGCAGGTCTTTTCTGAGGTTGTCCTGATGAACTATAGCAGCTTCTGACTCAGGGAGGCTGTGGACAACGGGAATGAATTTTACTTACTGCTGGCCCAGTAAAAGGAGCGTGATCACAGTTCTCCTGCCAGGACTGGTTGAGGCTCTGGACAAACTCTTGGAAGAAAGCATGAGACTGGTTGAAAATGGAAAATCCCAGGATGTTGACTCGGTCATCCAGCAGGCTGTCCAGGCGCTGGAGAGAAAACTCCTAAAACAGACCGAAACAGAAAACAGGATTAGGGGAGAAAACAGGCAACAAAATCTTTAGAACCTGACTGTATTAAAAATTAAAAAAAGCAAAAAGGGTGAACTCTATTTTGCTACTCACATCAATGGAAGCAGTTACACAACAAAGCCAGTTTCCTGGAGAAGAGTTCAGCCCTCCTTGTCCTATTAGCAGGAAATAATGGTGACTTCCTCACTAATTTCTCTTTCGCTAATTGCTAAAATGAAGTGAGAAGGTGGGAGTAATAGTTTCAGAAACTGCTGGATACCCATTCTCTTCCATCACTAATACAAATGTCTTTTGGCTCTGTGGACTATGAGATCTCAGTGAGTCAAGTCATTTTTTATCTTTCCTGCGTATGCGTGCACGTAGGAACAATGCCTGTAAATCTCCAAAACATGGAGTTACAAGACTATTCCAGCACAGCAAACTCCCACGAGAATGTGATCAGACACAGGATTAAGTGCATTTTGGACACAACCGCATTAACGTTAGGTAACATGAAATTGCCTGTGAACTATTGATTCATTTGAATGATATTATCCTCCTGCCTTCCTGACAGGTTATCCATTTACCCATGGCATCCTGTCAACCTGCGCAACGAGGGCAGATGGCTAATGAGGACCTGGGCTCCAGGAGATCCTGCATGCAAGCAGAGCAGCAGGAGGTATACCGAGTCCCTGCAAAATGCTACCTCCCCCCAGCCAGAGCTGGGAGGCAAACTGCACGGGGCACACCACCAGCAGCTGCCCGACTGCCCTCTTGGCTTCGGTATACACAGAAGGAAAATGAGATGTTACGTACCAAAACAGCTACATGGTCCAAGGCTTCGGGTCTCAGTCCAGACCGCCCCAATCTCAAGGCAGCTGAAACTTGTGCCTTTATTTATTATGCCTGTTCTCCCCTGAAAACACTTCTCTAAGCCTCTGACGTTGCTCAGGCACTGGCAGGTTTGTTAGACTCCTTAAATTAGCAGTTCTTGGGCAAGGGAATGAGCCCCACTGATCTCAATTCACATGGGGGAAACTGAGGCAGAGGAGCAATTTGCCCTGGTCACACAGCAATCGCAAGGCTGAACCCACGGGTACAGTCTGCTCGGGCTGGCTGAGTGATGGGGTCAGTCCCAGCCCCCGGCTCGGCTCCGGGCACAGCTTTCGGGAGGGACCCCCACCCACACCAGCCCAATTTCCCTGGGGAAATTCCGGTGCCCTGCCGGGGATGGAGGCAGCTGCCAGGGCTCACCGCCTGACAAAGCTGCTGCAGCCAGACCCGGACACGCTCCCCCCGGTGTCAACAATTTGCTTTGGTTCAAATGTTAACAGCAGCTTTTTCCCAGCCCTCATTAGCGATGGCTGGTCACTGCAAGCTTTGGTCTTTTTCCACAGCTAGTGCTCTCTGTATCTGTCTTTTTTCTAGGCAAGCCTCCAGCTGCAGAAAACCCCATCTCTGTTACTGTCATGCTCATAAAACATCCACCTCTGTAACACATGGGGATCGCATAGCCCGTATGTGACCCTTCCCTGCGCTGCTCCCTGTCCCTTCCCTCTGCTCCAGCTCTAACCCTCTGCCTTGAAATGCTTTGCCATTAGACGTGCACAGGAGCATTCTGCAGACCCAGGTCAGAAACAAGCAAATGAGCCATGAGCTGCCTATGCAATGAGATGGAGATAAACCGTCCTTGGGGGACACACTTCATTTGCAAGGGGATAAGAGAGATTTGGTAAGGTCAGGCTTGCTACAGAGGGCAAAGGGGTGAGAGCATCCGGATACTCCAGTAGCTGCCGGCTCAGCTTCTGTCCCTATTTGTTTTTTTTCTTTTTCCCACGCGGTCATTCACCACGCTTGACATTTCCAAACCCACGTTTTGCAAACACAAACTCATTTGCCAGTCAAGGCTTGTGCTGCTCAGCTGGTTTCCAGATCCTGGCGGCCCATCCATCAGCCCTGCTCCTACCTCCTGCCCTGCCCTCCCGACGGCAAGCGATGGCTGAGCCTCTGACGCTGCGTGGCAAGAGGCAAAGGGTCAGGAAAAGGGGCGGAAAGCCCTGCTCTTGAAGGTGATCTCAGATGGCTCCTCTCACCGTGTGTTTGCATGCAAGTGGTAACGCATTTACCTTGCCAAAGATCAGATTGAGATAAATACTGCTCATATTCGAGAAGCAAGACTCAGACACGTGAACGGCTCTATAGCGGGTGCCCAGGGATTTGGTGTCAGATCCAAGGATTTCTCATTGAGACATACTGAAGCTGACTTCTGCCTAAGCTAGGAAAAATTTTAAAGTCCGAGCACAACTATGGTATACATACGTGCCCTTGCTTTGACTGCTAGACATAGTGCTTACACAGAGCAGATCCACAGCAGCCCTTCCTCTCCTCTCCTCTCCTCTCCTC